TATAACAACGCATAACAATCGCATAGCTGTATTATTTGAAACTGCTACAAAACAACGTTTCTGAAGAAGCAGAACTTCTTCTTAAAAAGACACAAACTCACAAGAAATCGATCAATTATTATCTTCTTCCAGTGTGTCTAAAGCGTTATGACGCCGCAACTGCTATTCTTAGACGAATGTTTTCGTTACTCCGGATATGTGTCGACGATTAGACGTCGAATCAATCGAATAATAAGAACGTCAGTCAAAACACGATACCCTAATTCGATAGGAAAAGATCGCTTCTTGCACAGCTCCGAAATTATCACAACTTCGCAGAAGTCTATCCACCGAACGACTGGGGCAAACTAAATGACCGATGCCCCTAATCAACAACAAGCATTCCACGCGTTCTTCGCACTTACACGCGCGATCTGTCCGATTGGATGATAGCGGAAAATTGCTAGGTATTCGTAAACACCCTTATGGAAATCATTGTTAATCTTTGCTGTCAAGCTGTGCCCGACTGCGACGACCGAGTCGTTTTGCTCGGGATTAGTTAGATCGTCATTCAGCCACTCAATTTTCGACAATTTAATCGAATTCATTGCAGTATCTCCGAAAATATGTTACGAAAAACTGATGAATAAAATTGGTGGCCGTCGGACCCGGGCAAATTTTATTTGAAACGAAAATGAAGACGACATCAATGTTATAAATAAATTGCAATGCTGTTATTTGAAAATAAAAGTCACGTAAATCCATTTGAAATAATAACAGTCTCGAGTAATGAATTATTTCGTTATTCTGTTATTTCAAATGCGACGGAAGAAATAGTTTTCGAACAGCGACAAAAAGATTTTGTTTTTAGAAACTTTCGAGTCAATTTGCTTTAAACAAAACTCTTTCTCTTTAGAAAGATAGAATTCTTGAAATAATAGCCATCAAATAAATTTTATTTTGAGAAATCTTTACAAGAATCTGCTTCGAGGAAGATTCTTTTTCCAAAAAGTTCGTCTTTAAGAGATTTCACTATTATCTCAAATAATTATTTCAAATAATTATCAAATAAAATTATATGTTAGTTGAAATAATATGACAAATAATTAATTATGTCAGATAATTATCGAATAAAATAACATGTTAGTTGAAATAATATGTCAAATAATGTTGTTTCGAAAGTGATCACAAGCATGAAAAAAATTACGAAACGAAATCACATCTTATTAAAAATAATAAATAGTAATAAATAATAATAATAATAAATAATATTTCAAATAATGTCACCTCAAATATGGCCAAGTCTGATGATCATATGTAGACTGCGGATTTTATGCATTTATGACAAAAATAAGTAGCTGAACTATAAAATTGTGGAGACACAAGAACAATTCAACAATAACTCCACAAAATAATCAAAAGTAAGACTTTACTTCTATTATATTTCTCTTTCTCACAATCATCTTAGAAAATCATTATTCTGCATAAATATCCACAGTCTAATCATAAGTATTATCAATCGCACATGAAAATGGTCTGTCGTCCGATGATAAAACATTGCACCATAAGAAAACGCGTAATTAAAAAATTTGTCACACAATGCAACACACCTGAGCTCATTGATACCTGACATCTCTGAGCAGGTGATCGTCTAAACAGCAACGACAGCTCGCTGACGTACGTGTTAGTTCTTTCGTTTTCGTACTCTTGGTACAATGATATAAACATGTTCTCGTTTTATGTCTCACCAAGGATAATTAAAACAATGAAAGGGAAAAAGGGGTCAAGTAGAGAAAAGCAAATGCAAGAGTCGCGCAGAGAGATGCACTGTCACTTTCACTGTATTCGCGATTGAACGGGTCGCAGTTTACTGTTTACTAGTAAACGATTGCAGAACAGAAACGGTGTGGTATGTACGCGCATTGCTGTCGTGTGTCAGTGCCATTAGCATCGGCAAAACGGGTGGGAGAAAAGAGTCCACAGGTTTATGTCAGGCATAATAATGCGGGGATGAGATCACCAACTACGTTGCTCCTCAGATTCCACAGGTCTTAGTCAAACGCGCACGTCTGATTAATTGACCTTGCCGGGAAACAGGTTTCTTGTTAAATTTCGCTATCTGCTACTACATCTGACAATCGTTTTGTCGCAAAACCGCATCTGGGGCGTTTGAACCGTGATTTTTCATTCGATGAATGTAGAAATACTATTATGTTCTATTGTGAACCTAAATGCGCAGTTCTTAATACTGATTTTGCGCTATAAATTTGTAATTTTATAAATTAGATTATTTTCTTTTCAAGTTTCATTTTTCATTGCTTCATTTAAATTTAATTCATCGTTTGCTAAATCGGATTCGCCTTTTTCTAAATTGAACACGTATCTCTAAATTGAATTCACCTTTTTTAAAAATTGCATTCACCTTTTTCTAAATTGCATTCACCTTTTTCTAAATTAAATTGATCTTTTTCTAAAGTGAATTCACCTTTCTCTAAATTGCATTCACCTTTTTCTAAATTGAATTCACCTTTTTATAAATCGAATTAATCTTTTTCTAAATTAAGTTCACATTTCTCTAAATTGAATTCACCTTTTCCTAAATCGAATTCACCTTTTTCTAAATCGAATTCACCTTTTCCTAAATCGAATTCACCTTTTTCTAAATCGAATTCACCTTTTCCTAAATCGAATTCACCTTTTTCTAAATCGAATTTACCTTTTCCTAAGTTGCATTCACCTTTTTCTAAATCAAATTCACCCTTTTGCGAATAGAGTTCTTCTACTTTATTTTCTTAAACTATTGCAATCAATATCAAATTCAATATAAAGTTGTTCTGATATTTTAAATCTTATTGCATGTATGTAACAATGAACATAAAATACTTATTTGATAGCAAACATACTTTACGTATACTGGTTTTCCCGCCATGGTAAAAGTTTACATACATGATCATGCAATAATTATGGCATTCTATGTGCGTACTAGATGTAACCAAATGATTAATGACATCCATGAAAGGAATACTTTTTCTATAGAATTCAATTCTGAATTGGGTCATCATTAAAGGTGATAAAAATAGCGAGCCTTGTATGACTAACAAGGTTACGCAGTTTCTGGATCTTATGAAGGTTTACATTGTGCAAAACTAACTACGGCTAATTGTCTTCGTTCGATTTCTACAGTAATCCCTGAAGCAATTTGCAAAAATTTGCATTTCGTCTGCAAAAGATTGTACATTTCGTTTGAGAAAAGGTGAATTTGACCTGGAAAGGAATGAATTTTATTTGAATTGATCTATTAAAATAGATTCAACGGATTCAAGTAATAATACATTTAAATAGCAATAAAGACGATATTTTTCGAAATTTTAGAAATATATATTCGATAAATTGTGTTCACAGCAGTGACTCAAAGTCAAAATAATTAGGTAAGCAATGATGATTGTGGTTTCTGCAACTTCAGACTTGACATCTAAGATCAACATGTTGGATTCAGGAAAATTGAATATGATTACGGATAATTGTGTGAACCTATATTGTTACGACTGAGGAAAATGAGCATGTCTACTGCTTCTTTAAGCATCCTTCAAGTCAATTAAAACTGAAGTTGCAATTAGCGTAATATCTACTATTACGCGTAATGCCGCATGAGTTTTGCGCACAAGTCTCGTTTATTTCACTCGCAGGCTGAATCAGCGTAGTTGGCAAGAATTATTAGTTGCTCGATAATGAAGTCGTCACTTTACGCTGTAAACCGGTCGATTTCAGTATTGAAAAATTAATGCTTATGGCATTAATAATTAGAATTACGTATTTCGCTGATGCTTGAGGGCTTCTGTACGTTGTCAATGGATCGAATCGATGTAAAAGTTGATTTCGTCATGTACGAACGTTGAGTAACTGTTACTACAATAGCAGAGTGTCCTCTATGCTAAATACTAAGTAGAAATGACTGTATAATTCACGGAATTTCAAAGTCAGATGATAGACAAATACGTGACGCGTCGGTAGTCATTGATTCGACAGAATAGTGAGTAAAAGGCGAGAATGGTACGCTTCGTAGAATCGTTTCACGCTGCTCCGCGAGCGTATTTATGAAGCTGATATAATAAGCGCTAATAGTAGAGTACACATGGTAATATGTTTAATATTAGGCGTGATATCCTGAGAAAGTATATGTAAAAGTACACGCCTACGTAATTGCTGATCCAAGATACGCAGGATTAATTTGCATCTTCGCTTCCTGTACATTATGCGATTGGGTAATAATTTTTAGCTTATTCGCATTCGCATGAATCGTTGCTTTTGGGAGAGTCTGAGGAATCGTGTGAACATCAGCGAAACATTTGTGTAACTTTTTGAATTAAAGTAAAAACAATTCTTGAACTTGGAAATTTCATTTTCTCTGATATTTAATACTACAGGGTTCAGTCGTTGTTTAAATAATGTTTAAACGCGTTTAAATGTTTATAATGTTATTACAATTGATATTATATTATATAGGAGAGTCTGAAGAATCGTTTCACACAAAAGATACCTGCAGGATTGTTGGTACTAGAGCAAGACAAATTTTTGACACTATTTCTGCCAAAGGGGGGTTGGAAGACAACTTTGAAAATTTTAATTTAACGTTATCTTTAAGAAAAAGGGTAGAATGACATCTTCGAAAATTTTGATTTGACACCATTTTTACTGAAGAGATCAAAGGACACCTTTGGAAAATTTGAATTCAAAACTATTTTCTAAGTTTAATCACATTTCCTCGATTGACTTTTCAAATTTTCTTATAATAATTTTAAAATTAGGTAAAAATACGTATATACAAGACATCTATAAAATAGTAATAAAATCGAAGCATTTTTAACTCTTAACTGGTATAACGTTCTTCACAAAAATTATTAGTATACTAAAATCATGATAGACTCCAGATAAAATATTTAAAAAAATGAGTCGATCCAATTATCTAGATAAAAAAAAAATTCATTGTGTTTTATTCTTAGTTGGCGTATAAACTAATAGAAGAATAGAAAATTGACCTTTTACCACAAGGTGGAATAAAAATACAATGCTGAGGTCACCGATGACCTTAGTGTACCAGTCAAAGGTTAAGATACTTCAGGATATGAAGTCATCGGGCATCAAAATATATTGCATAAGACTCTTGAACGGTAACATACACACCTGTAACTTTGTTTCCGTCCTTCTGCCATATCTTCAGCATCGCAGCGGCTTGTTGGGCAGGCTTATTAGAATACTCCTCTTTAATGGAGGACACTTCATTAGGCGGAATATTCAATTCCTCTGCGAGCTTCTCCCAGTCCGAGCCCAGCAGGTTCGCGATATCGGTTAATCTTATTGTTGCTCTGTGAATAGTGTCTGGACGACCTGGAGGAAGTAATTAACATTGAAATAGTTCCTGCTCGGTTGTCTACGATTATCCGTCGAACGATCTACCACAGCGTTTCTCAACTTTTTCTGCACAAGCGTGACTTTGAAAATATTGAGATACAAAGCTGACAGTGGATCCTTATGCAAAGTAAAAAATTCATAAATTGCAACAAAAAAGTAACAAGATAGAAATTTCGTTCCTCGTTTAATAATTTTAACAAGTTGTTAGTAATATATAAATGATCTTAAATTCGTTTAATCTGTCTACTGTTGCAAACTACACTAAATTATTTTTATTATAAGTGCATAAAATCCACAGTTCAGTAATTACATATTAAAATATTGACAAAATTTATATTTTCTTGAACAACATAGGGTAGCTGACTCTCTAATTCACAAGAGGAGATTCTCAAAGCAGAAATTCAGAAAATTATAAAACTTTGGGGATAAATAAAACAATAACGCAATAAATAAAGCGTTATATAAATTTCTGAGCTGCCTAAATTGACTCTAACAATTAGAACTCTTACAGTAATCTTAGACGAATGAAAACAATTATATAATACGCAACAACTTATGCTTCAAGGTTTTGTAATTTTCTGAACGTTTGGACTGAAGATTCAATATTTTCTCTGCGAGATTGAGAAGCGCTGTGTCAGGCGAGGATGCGTACTTATGCCACCGTCGCGTAGAAAACTATAATTCTTCGAGAGCTCCAAAAGATCGACCTCCGATACCGCAGCCTCTGGCGATATCTTTTCTGGCAGTAGGATATTCAACGTGCAAATCGGTGTCTGAGGCAGCTCGCCCTTGGGAACCTTGGGCTCGCTCATGAACATAATGCGTCCCATCATGTCTGCCGCGTCCGGGTCTTTCACTCTGGCTGTGAACGGAACTCGGTTCTCTTTGAAGGCTCTAAACGGCAGCTGAAGCTGTTCCCCGCTCTTCAATACTGGCACAAGGTTGCCCGAAAACTCCATGTACTGTGTCTTTCCCTCCAACACCTGGAACAATTCATTTCGAAACGAAGGTTCGTCGTTAGACTGCATATCTTTGCGCAAAATAAAAGTTTCTTGGTCGATTGTGAGATTCATAACAAAATTATTGGAATTAGAACGTGTGTAATATTTTATGTAATAGTGACAATTAATATCATCTTCATGCAGAACATAAAATTGCAACTATTGCAAAAAGTAGAAGCAACTCAGGGATTTTCTGTTCTCTTTTCTTTTTACTAATTTCAATAGACGATCTTCAATGCTCTTCAGTTCTTTTAATTGTTCTTAAAATGCAATTACTCATTCTTTTTTTTAAATAAAAATCTTTCGAAGAATATTTCCACTAGATTGTGACATAAATCAAAAATTCTAAAGTTTTGTTATATGTAGTATTTCATACAAATGCATTTGTGTGAATCAAATTTAAAACATAAAGCAAATGAAATGATAATATACAATCGAAATTTAAATGAATGATCACTATTAATAGTAATGTTAATTGAATTTTCAAATATAATCATTCATTCAAATTTCCATAGTACATGAATCATTTCATTTCGTTTATGGTTCAAATGAAAATTTGATTCATAAATACACTTGTATAAAATAATGCAAACTATCTATCGTTCAAATTTTTAATGTATAGTAAAAAAATAGAATCATTGTTCAGAAGAATATCTTTGTGATTCTTTCTGATTAGAATTAGCTGATGAATAATTTTGTGAAAAAGTACGAACAGAATTTTTGTACGAGTGTTCGACGAATGTAAATGAGGAAGTAATTATGTTTTGACTCACCTCGACGTCTCGACTCTTCGCGACTTCCGTGAAATGCTCTTGATTCTCCAGAGTCTTGTCTTCTTTGTCATCGGTCATACAGAAGACGCGCAGCCTCGCTTCTAGCGGATCTACTCGCTTTGCAAATACTACAAATCTGCGGACGAAACGCGTTCGAATAATTTTCTATACTTCGGCAAGCTTGTAATCATGCAGGTAAAACTGCAGTTGCAGCGAGGGATTCAATTATCTTTCGCATATTATACGCAGACGTCTCTAAGTAATAGTGCAATGATCGAATTTTCAAATGTCACCGTTCATTCTTTCCATTATACCCGTGTCATTCTATTTCATTGGTTTCCTCTATGTTTCCAACCAACACTACATTCATAAATAATGTATCTAATACATTTTTTATATTTTTAATACAATTTTGACTCAACAACAAATTTATAGAAGACATTCCATATAATTGAAGTTCAGTAAGCAATAATATAGGTTGAAATGTAACAGTTTTTAGTATAATATTATATTGTGCAATTTCTGCTCATGATTATGTCAATTGGACACTGAGGAACCAAGTTCGATTGAGAATTAGAATGACTCAAAAATAAGATCGTACAAAACATTCTATTTGAATAAAGTTTCACAAGTGAAACTTCAGGTTGACAATTGACAATTTTTAGTACAATATCATATTGTGCAGTTTCTATTTGTGATTATGCCAATTGGATACTGAGGAACCAAGTTCAATTGAGAATTAGAATGACACAAAAATAAGATCGTACAAAACATTCTATTTGAATAAAGTTTCACAAGTGAAACTTCAGGTTGACAATTGACAATTTTTAGTACAATATCATATTGTGCAGTTTCTATTTGTGATTATGCCAATTGGATACTGAGGAACCAAGTTCGATTGAGAATTAGAATGACTCAAAAATAAGATCGTACAAAACATTCTATTTGAATAAAGTTTCACAAGTGAAACTTCAGGTTGACAATTGACAATTTTTAGTACAATATCATATTGTGCAGTTTCTATTTGTGATTATGCCAATTGGATACTGAGGAACCAAGTTCAATTGAGAATTAGAATGACACAAAAATAAGATCGTACAAAACATTCTATTTGAATAAAGTTTCACAAGTGAAACTTCAGGTTGACAATTGACAATTTTTAGTACAATATCATATTGTGCAGTTTCTATTTGTGATTATGCCAATTGGATACTGAGGAACCAAGTTCAATTGAGAATTAGAATGACTCAAAAATAAGATCGTACAAAACATTCTATTTGAATAAAGTTTCACAAGTGAAACTTCAGGTTGACAATTGACAATTTTTAGTACAATATCATATTGTGCAGTTTCTATTTGTGATTATGCCAATTGGACACTGAGGAATAAGTTGAATCAAGAATCAGAATCACTCAAAAATTGTATAAAATAACTGTTGACTTCTACTTAATTCAAGCTTAGCAAGTAGTAATTCAGGTTGAAACGCAACAGTTCTCAGCAGAATATTATATTGTGCAATTTCTGTTCGTGATTATGTCAATCGGTCATCGATGAGCGAATTAAATTGGAAATCAGAATGAAAACGGTCTGCGCCTGGATCCGTGTACAATATGCGAAAAGAAACGTTCTACCTGCGATTACGTGGTGTAGCTCTTTCAATATTTGGATAGAATTGTTCAAGAAATAGAATTGAAACTGAGTGATGTCAAAAACGTACTTAGCCATGAAAGGTACGTGTGTCGCATGTGTGTATAGCTCTGTAGCCATTTTCGTGGCTTCGGAAATATTCCGACAATCCATTAACCAGAAGCGAGCGGATACTGTGGTAGTAAAGGAAACGCAATCTTTGACGAACGTGAGCGGCGTCGAGCCTGTGACATCCTCCCAGACTGCCCGAGACTGACCCCCTGAACGACATATATACCAAGTCCAATAACATTATTAAAATATGTCCGTGGTACGAATACAGAATCGGCAGAAGTGAATGTGTGTGGGATTTAATCCGATGCGACCGAGATTAATTACAATTAAGGACCACGTTCGGTCGGAATCCCCGGCAAACGTCCTTTCACTGCTCTACTATCAAAGGAACCAGCAGGCTGTTCCCCATGAAATTTCAAAATTCTCCTTGTACTTCGTCGAGAAGTCTGTCAGAACGGAAATCGAACGTCTCTTCAATTCGTTTTTGTTAAGAGACACGCAATGAATCCAGATATTGAAAGTATTCTGAAATATTATATTGGTACAGTGGCCCACAAAAGTGTTCGTACACCTTTTGAAACGCAATAACTTTTTTGAAGCTGGTCTCAGTGACTTGAATTTTTTCTAGATGATAGAGAGACTGGTATACTAGACAATGACCAAAATGTCTTTTTTAAATTTTGTTGTTAGCATACTAGTCTATCTAAAAAAAAATTCAAGTCACTTAGTCCAGTTTCAAAAAAATTATTGCCTTTTAAAAGGTGCACGAACACTTTCGTGGGTCACTGTACATGGAACACGATGTGCACGTTCCGATTGTTCCGAATGAGGAGACCTTTTTTGCTCGAGTACGGTTTAACTTCTGTGCGACACAGTTTCTTGGAAATGTCAAGGAAAGTCTTGAAAATTTATGGCAATACATGGAACATTCTGTCCAATTTCCAAAATCTATGTAATTTATAATATCGAGAACTAGAATGCTAGAAGCGTTTATGCTATGAAAAGAACGTTGTATATAAAAGTCTGGAATGTCTATAAAACGGTTTAAAAAGCTAATAGTTGTAAAAAGTACACGTTAGACGATCGCGATCTTCGATTCGTCAGAATTTTATGTAAAATACAGAATTTAATCTTTGATATCAATTGCGTGAACTTTGTGCAGCTTTAATGACGACTTATAGCAAAACTGGACCGAAGTGATCACTTTCGGCAAGGTACAAATTGTCTACAAGTTTTCGGTATAGCGAAAACATTTGTCTACGATTTTCAGAAGCGAGTAAATCCAAAGAATATTGCGTAAAACAGCGGATATAGTGAATGCACCCTAATTGACGCTCAGCTTGTATACAAAAAGAGACAATTTGGGAACAGGAGAGGCTCGAATACAGTAATTTCTCCCTAATTCGCGCTCAGATTGCGCATGGACCATTCAAATGGACAATTTGGGAAGGGGAGATACGATTATTCGAACTACGCAGCTCCTCTTTATAGTTACCGATTGTCAACAGCTATAGAAACGAGACGCCAGGCTCGAGTAATCATGTCTCCTCTTTCCAAATTGTCCATTTTTGTGCGCAATCCGAGCGCGAATTAGGGTGAAATTACTGTAATCGTATCTGCTCTTCCCAAAATGGCCATTTTTGTGTACAAGCTGATTGTCAATCCGGGAGAATCTACTGTAACTACTTAGCTGAATAAGAAATCTTAATCGAGTTCTAGAAAATATTTGCGGACTATAGCAAAAAAGTTCTACAGTATAAAACGATGGAAAGATATTGCATAAAATTAATTCTATTATTTTCGAAAACGCTTTATACCGATATTTCTTTTATTTTTATTTTTTTTAATATGAATGCATCAGATTGCACGTAGCAGCGAAATCAATGTAAAAATACAATTGACCTCTGACCGTCTCGAATTTAAAACCTCGAGCCTGCCCTTTAAGATCGGTGCAACGGAAAATAATCTCCACGGAGGTTGTATTTAATATCGGTCACCATAAGTGCGTTCATGTTACGTGCTGTATCGTGTGTGATTAATATAATAACGAAAACAAACGACGACCGATTAATAATGCTTGCTAAATGAAGGAAAAGCGTCATTCAAAGAAATCGCGCGAAAGCGAAACGCGCGGATCGTGTGATTGAATGCGATCGAACGAAACAAGCGACAAGAAACTGAAAGTATGTGAAACAATATAGCAATTCCAATCGCGCTGTGGTACGTTATTGTCGGGAACAATGATGTTCCGGTTACACGCGGCGAAAGGAATCTCTGATGGTTTTTGAGATTCACGAACGAAACATAAACGAGAATTCATCGAAAATCAATCCGTACAACGTCCGATAAACTGAGAATCGTACTTTCGCAATGAAAATATTTGCAAATTTTCCGCGAACCGGTCGAAATATACGAACAAAACGCTGTACAGCATGGCTGCAACAAAGTTGTCAGATTAATTAATTGAAACGACAATTGTTAGTCTTCGTATCGGTAACGTGGCGTATGGATACATATCAGAATGATCTATTAGATACATATATACATGTATATATATATATATATATATATCGTATCGCAAATACACAAGTTGATAAATATTGTTACTGTATATATATATTTATATGAATTACAAGCCTAATATCGAAGCAGTTACCAGTCAAACGAATGTGCTGAAACAAAAACTCTGAAATTAACGCTTACGATGAGCTAGGTAATAAAACTTTATCTACGTTAATTAATAATCCATACCTAAATGACTCAATCCTAACAATATGCAAGCATTAACAATGAATCACAACAAGATATGTATACAACAATGGTACTCAACGAAATGTTTCTATGAAACATGCAGCTACCATCTCCCTTTTAAATCTCTATCCGAAGGTCTCCGGGGCGTGGGTACAAATTGTAATATGTCATTTTGCAATCGATCAGGTCATTCGACTTCGGAATTTTTCGTTTTCTCGGGGCGTGGATGGTGTGTGTTTTTTTCGATATAGCGCAGCCCCCTCGTGTTCCATCGAGGCGACCGTCGCGTTTAGTGCAATCGACAGTAATCATCGTGTTGCTTGAACGTCATTTTACAAAAGTGTCGAACTTGCAAACGAAAGCGGCTAAATAAAGATTTCTTTGTTTCTCAAGGAGTGTGACGTGTTCTTCGATAGACAGAAGGTTGTGCAAGGTATAATTCGGTTGAACATTGTGAGAATAATTATTGCTACAAAATGAACTTTGTATATCTAAAAACAAAAGTCTACAGAATACGTGAACGGTGTATGTTTTTGATTATGAAATTCGAAGATACGTATTTTTTCTGTTGAAACCAGCGAGATTGATGGCTTAAACTACCCTTAATTTGATATCATGTTTCGTCAGCAACGCAGTCATCAATATCGTTTCACCATCACTTGTTTAGAAACACAGTTTCTAACATCGGAGTAGCAAACTGTAACTTTTAGGACAGTTTACAGATAAACATGATTCTTCGTTCAACAATCTATATAACACATGGTACCATAATTCCATGTTTACATCTGAACTGTAAAATGGAGTATTTCTTTATAATAATATAATCAGTCTTTTTCTGAACATGTCTATAAAGACACAGTTTAATCGTCCTACTAGAAAGCAAGAAGGAAATATCGTCTCTAGCTTGGGTCTACTCAATTAGTCTCATAATATCAAGACAGTCTTATAATATTTTAGATTACTCTTGAATCACATAACTCTCAGACAAAAGATCCTAGAAAGAAGCCTTTTACATTTGACTCTCCCTTTCTCATTTGATCAAACAGCCTATGTAGTTATTCAAGAAGTACAAAATTATGGATTATCTTCCAACTGTGCTGCACTGCAGGGAAAAATGCATTCGAGAAATGCAGTCCTGACGACCTGGGAACAGACGACGATGCCTATTGGAGGCGTCATGCCTGCTGAACTACGAGTCGATCATAGAATGATAGATGTCTGATCGTAGAGCAAACACGTATACATGTGTAATCATATATCATATGTGTGTATCATATCAATACAATATTATATGTACACATCATGTCAATACAATATATGTATATAGTATCAAGATAATATCATATATACATATATCATATATGTACGTATACTAGTATATCACATGTACACATACATTATATTAATATAATATCACATAGAATACATGTCATATGTACATGTACAATATCATATGTATATATCATATCAAGACAATATCAAATACATATACACATCATATATGTATGCATGTACATTATAGATATCATATGTATACATACATTATACACATATCATATAGAATACATATCAAATGTATATGTATATTATATCAATACAATATTATATGTATATATCACATGTATATATCACATCAATATATGATATCAATATACCATATAAATACAATATGATATAATGATACCAATATCTCATATGTACAGTATGAATACACGAAAGGCGTCCGACACAGAATGTCTAAGAGATTCAGCACTTATCGGTAAGAGATTCTCCAGTAAGACGGTACGCTGCTCTACAATGTTACGTGCAAGCATATATTACCAGTTATGCTGCACAGAAGCCGCAACGTCGGCGCGTCCCCAGAATATTGATTGATCATGCCTTTGTTGGCAGCCTGCGGCACTGGTATCGTTAAGGTTATCGGTTTGTGGAATTTCCTTCGTCTTGGTTCAACGGTTACGATCGGTGATACTGCCACTCTGTTCCCGAGAAGCTTGGCTACGAGATCGGCTGGTATCGGATGCGCCTAAACGTAAAACATACAGGTCATTGTCAGATGCATTATCTCATTCAAAATGGGGCTTACTGTTAATTAGAACTTTGTGCGGAACAATCAGATAGAGACTTCTCTCTTTATTTAATAATTTTAGGGAGTTGCAAGTTATGTACAGTCGCAGCAGAACCTCGATTATCCGAATCTCCTAGATCAATTTAAGTTAATTTTTAAAGGCCTCTATTAAATATAAAAATCAATGAAGATGCAATAAATAATTGCGATTAATCAATTATTCTATTAACTGTAATTATGTTCTATTATCCATATACTTACGTTTTCTTACTCAATTCAACAAACTCAGGTTCTATTATACAGGGTGTTTCATAATTATGTTAACACCGGGAAAGGGGTGATTCTTCAGGTCATTTGAAGTAACTTTTTCCTTAGCGAAAGTGTAATCCGCGGTTTTGTTTACGAGTTATTAACGAAAAACAGTGACCAATGAGAGGCGAGATCAGTTGGTGCGAGGCGACTGAGCCAATGAGCGGAACTGGACTTCGACCGCTCGTTGACTCCGCCTCGCGCTAGCTGATCTCGCCTGTCATTGGTCACTGTTTTTCGCTAATAACTCGTAAACAAAGCCGCGGATTGCATTTTCACTAAGGAAAAAGTTGCTTCAAATGACGTCAAAAATTTCCAGGTGTTAACATAATTATGCAACACCCTAAATTATCGGACTCTATCGTTTTCAATTTCACCTTTCCATGTCCGTGACAAATCAATAAAATAATATAATTTCCAATATTTGTGACTAGAATAAAATTCGACAAAATTCTACCTAGGCTTGTTCTACAAAATGGAACTCGATTTTCTGTTCAGCTTCTTTTCAAAAATGAAAAAAATGCATTATCAAGAGAAACGTGTGTACCTGTAGACCAACTCGGATTTTTTTGGTAAGAGCTGCCGGTGGGAAAACAGCTTGAACTTGTGGGACAGCTGAGGACGAGACTGTACCTCCTTCTGGACCAACTGCATGAACCTCTTGCCTAATGCGAGACACTACTGCAAAGTAATGTGGGAAGTCAGCAGTCAGTATCCTTACGATTCGGGATGTTTGGAGATCCTCCAGCTGGCTTAACTCTGCAAAATTAATTTGGCAATTTGTTATGCATTCATAGAACAAACATGATATTCTGTGCGTTCATTCAAACAAGTATTTTTTGACGATTTATTATCAATTGTCTTCTTATTGAATGATTTTATAAATTGTGTTTGATGGTAAATGATTTCACTTAAGACCATTGACTAGTTTTTGTTATATATATAGATAAATAATATGGATAATAAAATATAATAAACAAAATAATAAAGTATAGATATTATTATATATATTATTATCTATATTTTATTATTTTATTTACTATATTTTATTATCTATATTTTATAAACGGCTAAATTTGTTCTATCTTTCATTTATTTTCGTACTGTACTCGGATGATCCTTATCAATTCACATAAGGAATTAATTAAAAAAGGAACGCACCTTCTCCTTCAAAGCTCTCATTAAGCACATCCTGGACTGCCTCCTCGCTGGCTTCCAAGGTGTGCTCACGCCATGTCTCTCCGTTGTCCGATCGAAGAATAACGATCTCCCGTTCTTTTCCTCGCAGCGAAGCAAAATGAGGTACCTCTATAATCACGGGCCTGTTCGAACCAAAATATTTACTTTTTTTAATTATTCGACGAGCATAGAGGAGCTACAAACAGTAGCTGAATCAAGTCTCAAAGGACGTCGTTAAATTGTAGCCTCTGTCGCCTTTTCTTCCTTATAGTGATTATTGAACTGCGGATTTTATGCATTTATGTCAAAAATGGCAACAAAAAACACAAACCGGAAAACATTTAAATAGTTGAAAAATACTGTTGCATTACTTTCAATAAAATAAAATAAGTAAAGAAAAAAGTCTATATAGTTTCTGTATCTTGCAATTAATGCAGACAATTCTTATTTTGCATTTTCAATTCTAATAACATGTTAGAAGGAAAGACAATTTATATTCATTGTGTGCCTACATTTACTTGAATGTTTAAATATTGGCAACAAGAGATTAGACTCATCAAAGTATAATGAGTCGTTGATACTACCCTCCTTAGTTAAATTGTCCTAACTAACATTTCTGAGCACTCAAAAAATAAAGCTCTAAATTAGTAAAATCATTTTTAAATAAGTGAGAACAAATAAAGTTAACATTACATTTGGAACTCTATGAACTACATAGAATATTCTAATTTTGCTTAAAAGGAAAAAAGGCAGGTGGCGTTCCAAATGTTTTCAAATATCCTGAAAAGTGGCAAATTAGTAGATGTAACATTTTATATTCGTTTAAAACAGTAAAAATGAGACATTTATTCTGACCTATAACGAGCGTTATTGTAATATTTTCCGCAAGTAATACATACATGTATTGAATAATTAACTAATAAATATATGTTCACAATCTAAATAATTGTAAATTGAAAAAATTAGTGAACCTGCCAATTTGATCAACATCGTTGTCAACCAAGGACAGCAGAATAGAACGCAGTGAAAGAGTGAAAAATGTAGTACGAATTTTTGAACATACCCTAAGAACTTGGCGCCAACGGGTCCGAGCTCAAGGATGCGGCTCGCCAAGGCCTCGCCTTCCATCAGAGGTGGTGGATTGGTCAATTTATCCCTTCTGAGGTACCTGCAGGTGACCCGCATCGGCATCGCTGCCTTCCTAGGAGGAACAATCACGCGGACACCGCTGTGCCTGCACCCTCGCATTGCACCGCCGCGTGCGTCCACCAAAAAGGAGACCAGGAAGCTGTTGACGGTGCACAAGACAACATATTATAGAAACTCTTATCACGGTGTCGTCCTCGCACGCGGAAATTATACTCGGCTTTAGCTGGAGACGTTAGACGCTGACAGACTTGAAAAATAAGAGCGTTCATTCCAAAAGGGCTAATCAGTTCGAGACACGTAAGTAATAACAATAATAATCATAGAAACAGTTGTTGGGCCAGAGTTGGGCCACGTTTTGTTCGGACGACGGATAAAGGATGAAAAGACTTGACGGGTCGAATTTTATTCGACCACTGGCGAATAAATATTCGGTCGAAAGTAAAAATTTATCTGGATCAAAATTTATTCAGATGAAATGTTATTCGCGAGCAAACATTTATCTAGATCAAAATTTATTCGAATAAAATTTTATTCGACTAAGAATTCATTTGATTAAGATTTTATTCGAATTAGAATTTATATATATATATCCGTACAGAAATTTATAGGGAAAATAATTCTTTTGAATCATAGTGAAAGATTGCAAAGCGTTTTCTCATAGTTTATTGGTTTATTTCTTTCGCATCAGTTTTTCGAATTATTTGTATAAAGATGTTTTCGAATTATTCGAATAAATAAGTTTCCGAGTTATACGAATAAAAAGTGATTCGAATAGAAAATTATTCGGATTATTCAAATAAATAGATAGAATAATATCTAACGAAAAATGAATTATTCGAATAAATAAATAGAATAATTTATAACGAAAAATGAATCATTCGAATAAATAGATAGAATAATGTATAACGAATAATGAATTATTCCAATAAATAGATAGAGTAACGTATAACGATTGATGAATTATACTAATAAATAATTCGACTGAAAGGAGATCATTCGAATAATTATCTTAGATAAATATTTGTTCGAGCCGATCCGAACAATGCCCAACTCTGTTCGACATTATATGACAAATATGAATAATGTTTTGTGCGCACACGGATAGAGATATTCGGCCTTTTTGGGGAGGTAACGAACATGCCATTCGCTTCAAAGAAAACCAATCAAATAGAGACAATAGCGTTTCCTAATTCGACGTATATTTACATCGGTCTAGAATTCGCGAAACTAGAAACGATTTTCCCGGGATCAAATTCGGGCAACTAGTCGCTAATCAAACTAGACGCGATACCGCGGTGAGACAAAAAGAAATTCTCGTTTCACGCTCGGAATCGGTAATCGTTATACGTCGCAGATAGTAGAAGCACGCCAAAGCCGAAAAGCAATCTTTGGAAAAAGACATGTTTTTTTATACTAAAAGCGAGAACTCATGGATTGCGGGAACAGTATTATTTCGGTGTATAGTTCTTTCCACACCCGGTTGACACAACAATATTGGAATCATGGTAAAATGATGCCTCGATCATCCTGCGCGACACGCGGATAGTGTCCCAGTGCCCCGTCGTGTACGATGGAGAAATGAAATGAATGCGAGATCGGTCATGTGCAAAGATAAATTACATGAGAGATGGAGCAAAATAAATCGTAATATTGGAACAACAATGGCCGTCGAGCACGGCCTGTGCCAGGATAATATTGCTGCTGCGTGGACACACTTTACTGCTGCAAGCGTGAAAACTAATCGACATTTAGGTGTTATATCGAAAAAGATCGCGAGGTGGGGGGATCTCCGGGGGATCCATCCTTTGCGTTATTGACTTATGACGGTGTGTGCCGGTGGATCGATTTCCGCATGAAACCTGGGGATTATTCACAATGTTGCGTGTGATGCGTGCACAGTGAATATAAAATCAGTGTACATTGAAAAGATGCTGCGAGAAAGGTCGCCTAGCTCAGTGTTTCCCAATCTTTTTTGGAGCACCTAGTTCACAATATTTGGAGATAGTCACACTTGTCTATGAGAAATAATTTATCAAAATTTATATGACTTTTATAAAAAGACAAGTATATGTATTGAAAATAGTTATCTATTCGTGGTAAAGAAAATTATTAATTGGAGCAGTATTTTAGTAAGATGTGCAAGGAAATAATTATTTGAAATAGTGTTTCACGTGTCCAAATTTGTAATAATTATTTGAAATTCTATTTAAGTGTTAACGCAAAAAGAGAGAGAGTATAAACACATATTGTTTTGGAAAAGAAGTTTTTTCTTATATTTCTTTTAATTAATTAATATCTTTTAAGGTGTTGTTCAGTTCTTTATCTCACGTTGATATATTAATATTTACATTGACATTTTATATTAATATTTATATTGATTTGTTTCTATCTTTTTTATCGTTCCATTTTTGCAGAGATCTTTTTACGCATTGTCTAATAAATTGGTCCCTCTAACATCTCCGAAAATATTCGTTTGATCGAATTGGTCGAAAATATCTACATATATTTGTCCACAATCGT